TGCTCCCTTGGCCTGAGTTGCAGTTGAAATATAAGCCAGATTCCCTGACTAGGTAGTGTTTGCACTTGCTGGTATAAATAAAGCTGGTGATGGTTTTTCCTCATGGGCATTTTAAGCGGGGAAGTACCATTTGGCTCCCAGTCAGCTGGGCAATTAGCATTTTATAGCCAAGCAATATACTTAAATGGAATTGCTTGGCTTGAGCATTGAATTACAATGGCCAGTAGACTGCCACTCTTCTTTCATAATTTATTTAGTACTTGCTTCTTGTTTAGGATTGAGGCAGAGGTTAATTTAATTCTGCATGAGAAGCTAGTAGTTACTCTAATGCTGTTCTGTGCTGTACTGCAGTGCAGGGGAAAGCTGTTTGGTGGTGTGCTTTTTTTTTTTTTTTTTTTGTGTAGAGCTTGTATTTGCCTGGTCCTTCAGCCATGGAAGGAACAGTTTTACCTGTTCCTTTCCTATCAATGCATTCCTTGCAGGAGTTGTTGGCACACTTATATTGGCACTTAAAAATACAGCCAATAATACCTTAAGACCATTTTATTCAACGCTGTTGCAGATGTATTTTTAAGAAACGTGTATTGAAGTATATTATTGACCAAGGAGACTTTGCCCTGTAAAATTGCAGGGGGCCCACTTATCCTGTTACAGGTAAATAAAATGTTAATATGTGACCATGGTGACTTGAGTGAGAGCTGTCACTACATCTCTTCTGATCTGAGGCAGAGACCAAACATCTGGTGTGTGATCTTGTAAGGATAAAAAGAGTAGGTAAAATGTGGCTCAGCACTCCAGAAACTTTTAGATGGAGTAAATGAATGTTTTTTCATCCTCTTAATAAGCCTAAGTGCTTAACTTGGTGCTTAGAATTTTATCCTAAATCTCACACATGTCTTGATTTTTCCTAAAGCCCTTGACTGCTAGAATCAGTGTGGGGGAATTTTGGCATTTTTTTAAAGCTCCTTTCTTAGCCAAGTGATTGCAGAGAGCTTGCAGATGTGGAGCAAGTGCACAGCAACGGCTTAGATGCCAGAAGGCTGCTGATGAGGACACAACATTTATTTGTTTAACCTCATGATTTTTAGGTAACTTAATGTTTTTGAATTCTTGGGGTACCAGTCCTGGAGTGCCTAACTGCTTTCAGTATCCTTCTGGTTGCTCAGATTTGTCAGTTGTCTCAGCCTGCTTCATGCTCCCCATCTCTGCAGGCAAGCACATCAGAGGGAGGGAGTGAGCAAAGGACTGAGCACCCAGTCTGACCTTCACTTAGGGAGCCCTCCATATCTGTGTGTGCTCAGTAACTCTGCATGGGGAAACCCTAGCAGGCTTTACGTACTGAGCTGGGGGCCTGGCTGCTCATGTTTACATTTTGTGATAGTGGTGTTGACCTGCTAACAAGAAGCATCCATAATTGCAACCATCATGGCTGTCAAAAGAGCTGAGATTTTTGACAAATATCTTCAAGCTTAAAATACCCTGATCTTTGCCAGAGGAGCATTTTGAGCACCTACAGATGCTGCACTAAGACCTGACAGGGATTTGTTTTGAATTGGGTTCCTTAAGTAACACTTCTGATACCATGGAAATCTCATTAGCAACAATTTAAAAAAAAAAACAAAACATGGACATCTCCTTAGCAACAATTAAAAGAAATTCAGATGGTAATTTGAAGGTGATTCCTCATTTGCAATAGCTGGCCTCCAAGTTGCTTAATGGTCTAGGTGTAAAGCTGGCAGCTCAGACCCTAATTGTTCTAATAATCATTGAAATTGTTCCCATATGTTGTTGCTGTAACCTTTACTGTTCTAACCAACCTGTAGTTGTGCTGTAAAAATGATTAAAAGGCTTCTTGTGGGAGGAAGTGATTTTTGGTTTTGCTTGCACAGTTGTTCTCCAGAGTGCTCTGGGGTTTTGTGGCCTGTTTAGTGTTTGAAAGCCCTCCTTTGCTCTCCAGCAGCTCCTATCTGTGCGTGCTGCCTCTAGCTGTGCTGGCCACCTCAAGCGGGAGGACACCTACAGACTGTCTGCCTCTTCTGTCATGTCTCACAGCTATGTTTGATTTCAAGCACAACAGCACACTTTTATATAATAAAACAACTTGCTGCTCTTGTGGAGAAATGTGGCATCTTATCTGTGATATCCTGTGTTTGCTGAGCTTCAGCAGAATGTCCAGGTTAATCCAATGTCCAGGGTAGCTGAACCCTGGGAGGGGTTGGGTCTATGGAGCCCTCTGGTCCTTGGTGCTGGTTCACAGGCTGTAACAGCACAGCTCCCTGCCTGAAGCTCCAATTTGACTTCTTAGGGTATTTGGGGTGGGATGGTAAGACGTGAGGGGAGCAGAGAGGCCAGACTGAGACACAGCATTTTAATTGTCCTACTGTTAATGATGCTTCGGATAAGGAAAGCGAGGAAATACTGGTAAGTGGTTAGGAGTTGAAGAATTCATGGTTTGCTGTTAGGGGGGGAGACTTCACTTGTATTTCCAGATGTGGATTTTAAGCAATGGAGCTGAGATACGGACACATTATCCCAGCTACTGAGTCAGTCACTGAGTGTCAGCTGAGCCTTACTGACTTACTGTGTTTTTAGCCATAAACAAAATCTGAACTAAATTCATCAGTGCCAGCGTAAGTGCTTTCAGCTGACACAGTCTCACATATGTTGCTGTGTGAATGAATGGCTCATTGGTACATCTCTGTTAAGAGAGGATAGTTTATTAAACTGATGAACTATTTTTTTTTTTTTTTTGACTTGCTTCCCTCATTTTGAAAAGGAGAGGGCAGTGCCACTGGCCTTCCTTTATGTTTTGCTGGTGAGGTGAACTGCATTGCCTCACAGGTAGGTATTGCCATTGCAAGCACTAATCTGAAAGTGAAGGCCTTTAGAATGACACAGATAACTATCTGTTTAAATAATTTGTATTAAAAATAAACAAGTCAGAGTATTACCTCTTGCAACAATTTGAGTCTTTCAATCTGAATTAAGAATTCACTCCTAGCAGGCTTGGGGCCCTTTCTTACTGTGCTTGATAACTGTCAGATTCTTGCCAGAAAATACTAAGTTCAGACAGCTACGAGGGCATTCAGTCATGGTTGTGTCAGATGGTATACTCAAATAATATTACAGAAGGAGCTCATGGGAATGTTAACAGCATAAAGGTTAGCTGTAATGTCTTTTGTGTCTGCCAGTCAAATAGCTAGCGATCTGATGATTACACAAAGACAACGCAAATTCCTTATTCATTCCTGCCTCAGTGCCACTCCACGCACTGGGTGACTGCAAGCACAATTCTTTCTCTTTTTTTTTTGCCATGGAAATTGCTGGTTAAAGCTCAATACTTCGGTATATGTTCTGTTGTTTTTTGTTTAAAGCCGCTGTGCTGTATTGTTACAGCAAATATTGTAGTCCAGCCATGTGCTGTTAAGTCCAATAGGTTTTGCATCTGTTTTGGTAACAGGTGCCAACAAACTTTGTTTAATATATCTCAAATGCATGAACTATAAAATCCATTTGGCTAATGAGTGGATGAATGCTTGGTCCACATTAGCCAAATGTCACATTGTGTATAAAGGTCTGTAGACCTTCTTTCTTAACATCATCAAAAACCCCATTAGCTGTGACACTGAGATATTCTACTTTATCCAAAAGAGAAACTGCTGAGTATTAAGTTTGGGGTATGGATCTGTGAGGGGAAAAAGAAAAAATAATCTTGTGTGATGTTCAGGACTTTTTATTTTTTAGAATATCCACTCTTATTACTTATCAAATGTGCAAATATTTCCTCTTTCAATCAGGCTTAATTTTCCTCCCATAGTAACTTTGAAAGGAGAGAAATAACAATGGGCTAACTTGGAGGGGAAGTGTTTGGGTGAAAGGGTGATAGTTCCAGGAAATGTGTTTCTGTGTTTGGCTGCTGCACTTCCCCCCCTGGCTCTGAATGCTCTGCAACTATCAGTGCATGTGCCCTCCTAGTGGCTTAGGGGCAGGCTGGGAAAAGGCACCTGCCAAACATTTCGGTAGAGTTTCATGTGTGAACCCGCTTCCTGAGTCCCAGCAGAGTATTGTAATCACACAACCACTTTCCTCACTGGCTTTTTATGTGCAATAGCTACTTGCTTGCAAAATGTTTTATTCAGATCCTCACAAGAGAGTGTTGGTAGCTGCAGGTTGAGGCTAACAACTATACTCCTGTGCTCTGTGTGTTACTGGGGTGCATGGCTGATCATATTACTGTGCAGAATCCCCTTCACAGTGCATTTGTCCACCTTTAAGCATTTTGCTTGCCTGAGGGCTTGTAGCCTTTCCTTTCCAGTAAGCCCATTCTGTCATTTCAGAGTACCTTCAGGGAGCTGACATTTAAATGTCAATGCACCTCCCTTCCCTCACCTTCCCCAAAATAAAATGACCTTTAAATGAGGTTCATGACATACTTAAATCTGTTTTACTGCCCATTAAAAGCAATGCAAACAAACTTAGAACTTTAAATTCAGTTTATGTGAGCAGTGCCAAATGTCTGTTCAATAGCTTTCCCCCACACCCATTTCCCCAGCCCATAATTAAAATCTCAGACCAATCTGACCAATTATTTGAATTGCCCAAACTTCACAGAATGGCTTAGGTACCTTTGGTGAACCAGCTGCATTTATATGCCCTGAAACATGACAGCAGCAGTATGTTGGACATCAAATGAATACAGGTCATGCCTGGGGTAAAGGCATGATGGATTGAGGTGCCTGTGCATTTATCCTGATTAGTGCTATGGGACCCTTTAAGTTCTATATTAGTCATCGTTAAAAGAGGTGATTAGCGTATGTTGGCTGTGCAACCTGATGCTATCTTCAAATAGTGATTTCTCTCTCAAGGGAGGCTGCCTTCTCTGACCTCTGACCTGCTAGTGTGTTAATTGGATTATAATCGATGGAGTTCTATATTCTTTGTTGTGTGATTGATTTGGATTCCTTCACACTGAATTTTCCTCGTTGTTGTCTTTCATTTAGGAAGTCCTCCAGCAGCTGATTGTAATGAATTTACCAAATGTTTTGATGATTGGCAAAGATCCTCTTTCTGGTGAGTAGTTTGAGTTCTTCACCCACTGTCCTCTGAAATGCTCAATAAAATTTGTATTTGTTTTAATTTCTTAAAATAGAATCATAGAATCATTTAGGTTGGAATGCCATTAAGATTGCTGAGTCCAACTGTTAACCTAGCACTGCCAAGTCCACCACTAAACCAGGTCCCTGAGCATCACATCTCTTTGTCTTTTAAGTACCTCCAGCGATGGTGACTCAGTCATTTCCCTGTTCCAGTGCTGGAACATCCAACCAGTCTTCAATCCGGTGAAGACTATGATCATCTAGATGCTAGTGAGCATCTAGCTTCTCCAGGAGGATGCTGTGAGAAATGGTGTCAAAGGCTTTAGTGAAGTCTAGATAGACAATATCCACAGCCTTTCCCTTATCCACTGAGTCACCTTGTCATGGAAGGATTTTGTCAAGCAGGACCTGCCTTTCATAAACAGATGCTGACTGGGCCTGATTACCTGGTTGTCCCATATGTGCTCAGTTGTGGCAGTGTGTATACATCAGAAGAGCCTTGAATTGTACTAAGGTATGAAGAAGCTGTTACAAATGGAGTGTTGGAAGAAAAATATGTAAGGATGGTGAGAAAAACACATCTCACAAACTGGAAAAGGTGAAGAAGAGAATAGCTAAGGAGAAAAACATCAATATGGCCATGTTGTCTAGATAAGGACATCTGTTACCTGAAGTATCACATCAAAAGTGACCTGGAAGCCAGTGAGCTCATGTCCAGAGTCCAGTATTTGGTGAAACAAAATGAAAGTTGTTTAGTCTGAAAATGAAGTTGCCTTAACCTTAGAACTGCATTTCTGAAATGAAAGGGTTTGTTTATGTGGCTTTTACTTCTTTTTTGTATGCCCCTTCTGTCTCTGCCTTAGCCCCATGTTTGTGTCAAGGACAATGTATTTGCTTTTACCAAAGAAGGAAGACTGGATGAACTCTTGTTAGCAGTGATGGGGAATGACATGGTAATTGGTAGCTCCAGAACAAAATGAATTGCAGAAACCTTGGCAGATGATCTTATTTTGATGCTCTTAGCAACAGCAGTGTGTGTATGTACAAAAAGGGTTTACATCAGAGAAGAATGTTCACTTACAGATGTTGGATCACTGAAACTCGGTCTTGCCACTTGTGCACTAAAACAAAGCTGAGCGTAAGGCATCCACCTCAACAAGCAAATTAAAGTCTTCAATGCCCGTCTTAATTCTCTTGTACTGTTGTGGGTGAAGCAGAAAATAGAAATACAAGAGCCGTTGCTTTTCTCAGTCGTACAGGCAGTGGGCAGAGCCTGGGCTGCTAGCGTCACCAGTGCTTGTGAATAGAGATGTCTGGGCCAGCAAGGCAGCATCTCTGCTGGCCGAGTGTCAGTGGGAAAGGCTGACTGGTTTGTCATGGCTGCTCCTGAATGACAGCTGGCAGGAGAGTCATAATACACTAACCACAGTGTTGGTTCCTGGGGAAGCTGGGCACTTGAAAGCTGTCCTGTATTTGCCTGTGATTTTCCATCACTGACCTGCTGTTTTTGTCAGTGCCTTAGATCTTTCTAAGAAGAAAATACCCGATGTGTTTCTTGTAGGAAAGATATTGGTCATCTGTGTATTCCTGTCTTCCAGGTCCTTTAATTACAACCAGAAATTTTACTTTGCTTTCTGACATCTTTAAAATGTGGTTTGGTTTTGTTCTTTTTGTTTGGTGGAGTTTTTTTTAATGCCTTTTGAAATTTATTTTACTCATTGCTGGCTTATCGTTGGTATTATTCAGAACATGGGAAGAGAGGATAAAGAATGCAAAAATTTAACTTCCGGGTGTCTAAAATTGATGGGGCATGTGCGTATAAAAAATACAAAGTTCTCATTTAGCCATGTTATATAATGGTTTTGAGAACCAGTCCCAGCTTAGACACTAGAGAAGGAAGGTGGTGAACAAAGAAAGACTTGAGATGTACTTGCTCCGAAGAATGTATCTGAGGAGAAGAGTGTCTGAGGGGTGGGATTTCAAGATAAGCTCATCTTAATCTTAGCCTTAGATAGATGCTCAGTGGTAAGATGTGCTGAAGAAATGGTTAGGGAAGTGGAGAACTTCCTTCAGGAAGAGGAACCAGGCTGAGGGCTGATATGAAGCTCAGGAAGAGGAAGCAAGAAGGAGAGGACTGAGGAGAAGTTAGTAAAATAAATACAAAAAGCTGGATGAAGGAATAGGCTGTGGTGAGCAATGGCCAGGGGACTGTCAGGCTGATACCTTGTTGCTGAGTGTCTTGCAGAGAGGAGTGGGAGGAAGGCCCAGGCATTTGGGAGGGGAAAACCAGGCGAAGTGATAAATCCTCTCTGCTGATGAGAGAGCTAAAGGAGCACTGCAGATTGCATAGAGACCTGAGGATAAAGCAGCCATCAGCATGGGAAGCAGTGCTTCTGGCATGAGCACAGGGAAGCCCCGGGGAAAGCTGACAGAGAAGTGATGAGGCTGGGGAGGACAGCATTATGGGGAGGAGAGTTAGTGGAGACCGTTGTTGGGGGGAAGTGTTTAAAAGTGGCAAGAAACCTCTCCCTGTGTCAATAATTCACGGCAGAGACTGCGAGGGAAGGAGGGAAGTCCTGGAGGGGGATCTGCAGAAATAGTGCTGGGCACTAATGTGGGGAGTGGTAGGAGCTGGAGACTGAGGAGCCAGGTTGGGTCTCAGAGGCAGCAGAGAGTTTAGACTTCCCTTTCTTGTAGGTGAGTTATCTGAATGAAAGGTCCCTCATGACAACACACCAAAAAAAAGTATTCTGAGATCACATTCTTGGACCAAATACACTGTTGCTTTGTACTGTTTGAGCAGGGAAGGCTCCTAGTGACTGTATTGGCTCCATAGGCCCAAGACCAGAGAGATTTTGGATCATTCATTATGAGTCACAGCGTAGCGAATCCAGAGGCTTACTCCTTGTAGCAAGCCCACCTGTTTTTGCAATGCATGGTTTGCAGAGCTGTCTGTTCACCAGTGCTATGTGCAAATTTTACTCTTTCCTTCTAAAACACCCAAAAGTGGTGTTTCATGTATTAAATTAGAAAACTGAACAGCTCTAAAGTTGAGAATGTTGCACTTGCTATTTAGTTCCCATCTGGGACTCAGCAGTTGGGATGGCTGAGGGCTTCTGCAGTTCTGCTTTGAGAATGAGACTGTTGGGCAAAGAGCGGCCACCACTGAAAACACAGTAGCAGTTGGGCTTTTGCACAGGAGAAAGGCACGTGTCCACTGGGTTTAGGAGCTTTACTTGCTTTCGTGTCTTCTAAATTGTATTGTTCCAGGTCATGGCACTTTTGCCTACTTCAGTCCATTTGGCCATGAGCATAAAAGTTGCAAAAATATTTGTAAGGAGGTGAAGGGTTTGGCTGTTCTCTAGAATACAGGGAGCTGAAAAGAAACCTGGACGTTTAATTAAAAGGATTTAGAAAATTTTCCCAGAAATCTGACTTGCAGAACAATGCAGCTGACATTACAGGGTTTATTCTCGTCATTGCACTGTACAGTAGACAACCACTACCATTAAATTTCCTCTCTGGTTTTGTCTTCATGTTTTTTCTTGCTGACATCTTTTTCAGTTCATTACTGCACCACAGATTTCCCTGTGCTCAATGTGAGAATTATCAATGTATTTATCATCTATAATACCTTAAGGTTTTATAAAATGTTTAATCACCTTTTATAATTACCTCTGGGTTTAGCATGCCTTTTAAATGGCCTCTCATTCATGTGCCCACACAAGGAATATCAGTACACAGTACTGGTCCTGAACCTCTGTTTAGAGGCATCGTTTAATTTTAGTTCCTAGACATGCTTAGTTTAACACAGCTAGTGAGTGTACTTGGAACCTGATGTCAATTAATCTTTTGAAACAGTCATTGTTAATTGATGGAGGAGTATTTTAACTTTTTTCAGACTGAGAATGGAAATGAGATTTTATTTGCGTAGGCTTATTTCTGCTTCTTAAAAAACGTTGCTATGTAGATTCTCTTTTTAATGCACACTAAGTTTGTGAATGAGAGAGCCCAAAGTCCCTGCTAACAAGTATCCATAGAAACTGTTTTTTATTAAAATCATAAAAGATGTCTGCTCTTACTGGGGTGTTTTTTTCATATCCTGTTTCCTTCCTTATTTTGTTTGACAATCCTCCAGAGGCACAAAGGTTCATAAAATGCAACAAAATATTGCTTTAATAGTGTAAATTTTAGCATCCAAGCTTTTCCCACTCAGGATGTGGCTACAGTTGGGAAAAATGGCACTTGTGTGTTTTGACCTCTTCCCAGCTCCTCTGCAGGTGCCCCTGCCTCCGCGTGCAGCACTGCAAGCGCTGATGTTCCCCTGGCTCCTTGGATGGAGGAGCATCCAAGCAGAAATGTGCAGAAAGAAGCAGCACAATCTCAAGATTTCACATGCTTAGGCTTTCTTGTTTCTGGTTGCTGACAGCTTTCCTACTCTCCTTTTTTCTTTTTTTTTTTTTCTTTTTTTTTTTTTAATTGTCTGTATTCTCTTTGTACCTTGATCCTCCTCTTTTGGTTGTTGTCTCCTAATCTCTCTGCCCGCCTTCTCCCAGAGTCCTGCCATCTGCTTCCCACCCTCTGTCCCCTGTGAGAGCAGAGGGGTCTCCTAGCTCTGGTGCAGGAAGGCTCCTGGGGTGCACAGGTGGTGCCTGGGCTTTCCTTCCCTTTTTTTCCAGAAAACCTGCTGGCCATCTCTCACGGTTGGGAGCAGATGGTCTTTCTGCAAATCCCCTAGGTGGCTGGCTCCCTTGCAGGCACAGACACGTGGCCTGAGAGCAGCTGCCCTGGAATTTTCAAAAAGGTGTAAAAGTAGTTTTTTTTGTCAATTAGCATCTTTCCAAGTGCTAGTTCGAATCCTGTCCATTCATTTCAGCACGCAGGTATCTGTCTGCCAGGAGCTGGTTTTGACATCCTAGTTTGCAGGAGGACACTGTCATGATGACGTCAGCTAATAAAGCTGGGTGGACTCAGCAGACTTTCTCCCCAGCTGACTATGAAGGACCTGTGTCATCCCAATGAAGTGTGCATGGGGAAGCTTGTGCGTCCCTTCATATGCAGTTGCACGAGGAACTTTACCACCTTATTACATCAGCACAAATTAAATCTTTTGAGCAATGCCATAAAATCGATCGCTGTCCAGGAAGCATAACTGAATTGAGGTTAAACGTCACTTGCTGTTGTTCAACATGCAGAGCAGGATAAATGCACCCTCTTGCGTGTAGATCTGAGCTGCTGTGCTCTGTAATAGTCCTGGATGTGCTTCCAGTTTGGTTAGTGACTGTGGGCACTCCACTGGAGTGTGTGGTATCTCAGCTCTCCTGTGGGTGAGATGAAAGGAGAGAGGGTAGTTAATCCCTTCCTGCCTCATTCTGAGGTTTAATTGAAAACTCTCTCTAAAGCACTTCAAATTAGTAGAGAGTCTTTTTCATACTCATACCATATTTCTTCTAAATGTCTCCTGTAAATTATTCTATGAGGCTTTAAAATGTTACTCAAACCTAGCTTGAGTATGATTGATATCAGAGCGCCTAATACCAACAAACTGTCTGCATGCCATGGGAAACAACTTCTGAATGCAAGATCAGTTTACAACATGATCTTCTGAAACACTTGTGTGGCTGGCAGCGGAGACCTGCTAAGTTGACCTTTCAACTTTAGAAGTGCTTCTGGTGGGTAGTACGATCCCATTTTCATTACATGTGCATAGCATGTCTGCAATCATAAAATAACTTAAGAACAATCTTGGAAAAATCCTGGCAGCTGGGTTTTCTGTGAAAGCTGCAAGTGGGGAGAGCAGACTGCCAAATGTTATCTTTAAAACAGTAGAAAACATGTCTGCCTCAGTTTCTCTTCCTGATGGGAAGGCCCAAGTGAAGAAAAGGTCTCAGAGTGGTATTTCCAGGCCAGGTCAGTCCCCAATGGGAGAACAAGGTTGACCATGCTAAGTTATTCTTCAGTAATAATTGGTGTTTCGCCTCACTGGGTCATGCAACATCACCCATGGCCATCTGTTATCTCATGGAGAGAAGAACAAAGCCTACTGCTATTTTGGTGCAGAGAGGTAGAGTGTGATTTGAATGGTTTAAGTAACTTGCATGTCTTTAGAAGGGTGTAGATGTTCTCAGTGTTGGGAAGTATCCCAGATGTTCTCTAAAACGAGTAATTTCAAGCCACTGGGCACACCCTGAGGGTAACTGTGGTGCCATGGTGTGCAGATTGGAATTTATGGTCAACAGATGGAGGTGCCCAGAGCACACAGGGCCTGGAGCACTTGTCTGATGTGATCTGAAGCAGGCAGCCTGGTGGCTACTCCTCCAGTCTCTCATGGAGATGTTCTACCTTGAGCAAGTTTGCAAGGATTACACACACTTGAGTCACTTGCTTGCCATAATTTAGCAACTTGCTCTGATGTCTCACAAGTGTGCTCTGTGTTTAATCCTGGTCTGAAGCTGCTGCAGAATGAAACCCAATGCTGAATCTATAATGAGAACTCAATTTTGTGTTAAAATGTCTTCTGACCAAACTAAGTAACACCTTGGTCTGGGAGTTACTTTGTGAACAGTTCCTCCCAGGGCACATCTAGTTGTTGCTCAGGGATTTTTTTTTTTTGTTACACTGTCTACATTTAAGGTTGTGTTATTCAGAATGGTACAGAATAGTAAGGCTTTTATGGATTGAAGTGTTATTTGTATGTTAAATTGTAATTTTTCAGAAAAAGGGCAAGCCTTGTATGTTGCTAGATACAGGGAGAAGAATAAGAATGACTGTACATCTTTCAAAACAAGTTTTTAAATATTATACAGGGAAATAAACAACATTGTGTTTACAAGATGAAAAGTGAGCTAGTGTGTTTTAAATATGCCTGTCTGTAGAAGAGAAGAATTCCTGTTTGCAAGTTTTTAATGATTAATAATGTGGGACTTGGATACTTAGAATTCTAGTGTTGATACCAACAGTATACTGAGAATTTCTGTAATATGTTCTTGAAACACTTTAAAGATCAACATTCCTAAAAGTTGTCAAAAAATTGTTTGACAAGGTACATTTAAAGACTGATTTAGAGCATCTGTATACTCTAAAATCAGCAAATCGGAAAGAAGTTATTTCCTAAGCAGCCTGCACGTGGCCAGGCTGGCCTGGAAGATTCTGAGAATGGAAGTAACCCCTGTGGTAATTTAGGTCAGTGTGCCTTTGTGCATCTGGGAGGCTGTGGCAGCTTAGCTGATGAGTCAGTTCAGCTCCAGTTCCCTGGCCTTGGGTCCTGCACAGGCCTCTAACTTTCTGTCAGGGCAGCCTTACAAGGGCACAGTGTTGGTGGAGGAACACTGTTGTACTGATAAATTCTCTTTTTAGCGATGGGAGCAGTTGAATACCTAAGTAAAGCAAGTTATAAAATTAGTGTTTTCTCCCATAGTTATATGCTCTGTATCAGGAAGCATGCACGTGTATGGGGATGAGAGAAAACTATACGTGGCCTGTTTTCTCTCTTCCTTTTTCCACAGTGTGGATGAGGACAGACATTTCCTGAACTTAACACATAATGTTTTATTTCCTTATTGAAGCTACTTGCCTCCCAACTCCTATTGTCTGACTTGGATATACGTAATTTTCTTTACTACCCAACACTCCTTGTATTAATTTTGTTGAAACAAGGTCTAGAGTTGGCTCACAGCCACACTGGGTTCCCCTTGTGTGGCTTTCTCCCTCGTAACCTTAGGAAGTTGCCAGCAGGGCTGTTGGTCACAGCAGGATTCCCAGCAGTAACGACCTCTGTGTTTCTCCTCCCCCCAAACATATGGTTAGCTGCGTATTCTCTCTTCTACATTGCTCATTTTTTATCTCCTAGCACGTGGGGTTTGTGCTTCAAAGTGTGAACAGGCTTTGATGCAGAACAGAGGCAGAGTTTATTTGCTGAAACATCTCTAGGAGAAAATTTATGTGCACAGTACGGCATTCAGCTTTGAGAAGTCTGAGTGGCAACTGTTTTCCAGACAGAGGATTTAGGACAAGATCTTTGAGAGTAATCCTTTGCTTTTGCCTAGAGTGTTTTTGTTTTGCTTTGGTGGGGCTTTTTTTTGGGGGGGAAAAGGTTGTGGTGGTTTGGTAGGGTTTTTGCATCCTTGTTAATGACAAAACAAGGGACAAGCACTGGGCATGTGTTGAACTATTTAAAGGATTTTTTTTCTGGCAATGATCAGTAAAAAATCAGAAAATGCAGGTGAGGATAGAACATCAAGGAGAGAAAAAAGTCTTGCTAGATTTGGGATTTTAAACTGATCATAAGAACAGTATTGTTACAATGAAAGTATGGTAACATTAAAATGGGCACATATATATTGTTCACTTGTTCAGAGGTCTTATTTTTCTCTTCAGGTGGATATTTTGGAGAGGGTCACTTTCAAGTACTTAATTTGTTGTGAGTATGTACTGATTCTCTTTTCCTTTCTAGGTAAAAGTATGGATGAAATTAAGAAGCTGCTGTTGCTGGTTCTGGGATGTGCCGTACAGGTGAACATTCATTAAAGGCGTGGAAAAGAAAATTTTTGGCTTTATTAATTTTTTTTTTTTTTTCTGGACTGAGAAAATCTACCCAGAGATCAGTGCTTATGAACAAGTCTCAAGCTCAAGGCAGCTCATGGGCTGCAGTTGTGAGGAGAGGCAGTGGGTGAATGAAACAAACACAGGGGAAAGGAAGCATGTTTGTGTGATAGCAGCAGCCTCAGTTGTTTGCTAGTGCTCAATCAGCCACAGGATATGTGCTCTTGCAGCTAAGTAGTCCACTTTGATAACAAACTGGGAAGAGATAAGATTTGAACAGTGTACTTAATATCAATGTTGTTGATTTATTTTCTTACTGTTTTAAAATATGGAATGGAACAGTTACTTATTTAACGCCAAACAGATAAGCTCACAGCCTCTAAACTTTTTTTAATTAAACTTGATTTTATTTGCATAATTTTTTTATTATTACATGTAGAAAACCCAAAATGAATAGATACTTTGTATACTCATATGGGGATTTTTATGTGGCATTTGTTAAAATAATAGACAAGCAATGTATATGGGAAGCTCCCCAGAAAACCACCACAGTTCCCAGATAAAGAAATCAGTGTTCTGCCCACCAAACCTCTGTGGCAGTAAACAATAGACGCGTTGCGGGCTCTCCTTTGCTTATAATTGACCTTGTTTGTAGGTCTGCCTAGTGTTTTTGTCATGCCTTAGGACACTTACCCTGCTCAGCTATGTCAAGTCAATTATGTCAGGGTAAAGCTGCCTACATACGGCTGCTCTGAACTATCTCAGCGCTGCATTGCAGCACAAAGAATAGAAGTCTGGTTTGGCAAGCTGCTGTACATCCTCAGTCACCATTTATGGGTCTGAGGTTCTACCCAGTGAAAGGAATGGTTGAGACTCAGAACCAGGCCCCTAAATAACACTATAACTGAGCTTGAAAAAAAAAATTTAATGCTTAACTTCTCCATAATGTAGATTTGTTACAAGAAGGCAATAATACTGTTAGTGTATAGCCAAATATATACATACAGCAGATGTCTGTCTCTTTAAAAGCCTTAAATAAGATTTACTAAAACCTGTTTGTCTGAAACATCGCTCACATTTATCCAGAATGTTTCCCAAGCCCATTTTTCACATAAAGCACATGCTGATTTAGTGCAGAAAACAAAATTATGCATTGATGTGAGTAGTATCTAAAGTGGTGTCTCTCTCTTCATTGCCGAAAAAAAGTGAATTGCAAACAGCACAGCAGACAGCTTATGTGATGCAATGTAATTTTAGGTTTATGTTTGCACAGCTCCGTTAATAAAGCTATGACGAGCTCCTCTGGCTGTTGCCTCACCTCATGATCTCATTGTGTATTGAACTTATTTTTAAAGAGTAAACCCAGCCATTTGTAATTTGGTTTATGCTCCATACGGAGCAGTGAAGTGTTGTATCTTCTAGTGTGACAAAGTGCAGATCTTGAACTCTCGTTGGCAATGTGGGGCTAGTTATTTTTGTATAAATGGAAAATGGTGCAGTAAGGTTTAGGATATGTAGCACTGCTTGAAGTTGTTTTCTTTTAACAGTGTGAAAGAAAAGAAGAGTTTATTGAAAGAATAAAACAACTGGATATTGAAACTCAAGCTGCCATTGTGTCACACATTCAGGAGGTGAGACTCAGTATTGACTATTTGACTTTTTGTCTCTCCCTTTCTTGACTTAATAGGTTGGGTTTCGGTATGAAGTATCAATACTTGGAATTTCATCATAGATTAATGAACTTCACCCAAAAAAAAGGGTTTAGTATGTTACTGCTATCAAATTATAAGATAAAAATTATACACCCTGGGAATGTTACTGGGCTCAGTGGTAAATGCCTTGCTTGCCAGCTAAAGGCTATATAGAAGGAATTGTTGTAAGGATACATGTGTAATACTTCTAAAAAGCACATAATGCTTAGGAGCTGCAGTGCCCCTTGCAGCAATGGTGCAGGTCCCCATGAACTTAGTCCCCAAGTCCTGTGGTAGGTGAGACACAGCCTCCCCCATGGCTTGCTTTGGACAGTGGCCTCTAAGCTTAAATGCTCTTGAAAAGTGTGCTCTGCAGCTGAAATTGGACGTCTTCTTAAAGAGAAGTTTGATCTAATGATTAATGTTCTTGGACTTCTAAGGTTTCTGTAGAAGGAAGGATTACAGGTAGGCATTGGAAGCCAGCTTGCTTTGGAGACCTGAAGGAGATCCATGTGGAAATAGTTTCTGCTGGGAGTGGTCACCAGCTGTGGCCAGGTGCCAGCGTAGAATGCCCAGTATGCTCATATTTGAGCAACAAATTTTTTCTTAATAAATATTTTTTCTTAATGGTTAAAAAAATATTTATTCTTTAAAAAATCATGATGAACAAAGCACATGGCTATAACAAAAGCAGGAACAGTCTTTAACTGAGCTTGAGAGACTTGCTTCACGTTTCTGCTAAATGATTCAGAGGAAATCAGTTTGGGTAAGATTGCAGTGGAAAGATACACTGCTAGCAGCAACCAGAGACACTTCTGCTAAAGGCAGCTCCTCCCAGCTGTGTCAGCTGCGAATTGCAAATTCCCTGAAAGCAGGGCTTCTCCTCAGTGAGACACCAGCCTAATTGTTCAGTCCCTTTAAATCTCTGTGGTGACCACTATGGTGCTTAGTAAGAGAGTTGCATACTTCTAATACATAAACACACATACAATTAATCATATGTATCTGATCACTTTTAAAAATCGGTCTTAATAACTATAAAAAAATCTAAACACTAGAAATTGCTGGATAGTGTTATCAGTTAAGGTAACTGTTCATTATTTACAGCCAGGTTTTGGTGAAATGTCATATTTTTTTAACTGATCAGTAGAAGAACTTAGGGGATGCAGCATATACAACAAATAAATTTACACGTCAGCCAGTGGAAGGACATTATTTTGTTCCTGTTCCTAGGTGACTCACAACCAGGAGAATGTCTTTGACTTACAGTGGCTGGAGCTCCCAGATATGGCCCCAGAAGAACTAGAGTCTCTCTCCAGGAATATGGTTTTCCACCTCAAGAGGCTCATTGATGAGAGAGATGAATGCACAGAAGTATGATGACTTACCTCTGCCATATAGAGCTCATGTGATGCAGGCTCCATTCCTTCTTTTGTGTCGTTTGTGCATTGGGTTTCTATTTTTTCTGCACATTTCTACTACACCTTTAGAAACCTTTAGAAGATATTGGCTTTTCCATTGATTCAGATGTAAACAGTAAGATGATGTGAAGAGGAGAGTGGTCTCACTTCATGGAGAGAAAAATATTTGAAGCTGTGACTTTGTCTTGAGATTTTTGTTGCTCCGTGTCTGCTCAGTCATTCCTCTTTGAGTGACTGCTTGCCTGTCTCTGCACTAGTATCTGCCATCGTGGGTTCCAGTGTCTTCTCTAGTTTTCTCAGTGTGAAGACAGCCCTACCTGACTCATTAGTTGCTTTCCCTTCTCCTCTGTTTTAACTTGTTAATATTCTGTCATGCTTTTGACTATGATTGTGTTAGATAAAACTGTTAGTTGTTACAGGTTTTTGTGAATTTTCCAGTCAAAACAAACTGCTGATTTTGCACATTGGAAGGGGAATCTTTTAGTGGTCTGAGCATAGTGGGGATTCCTTTCCTTCTCTGTGTAGCCTTCCCTCCTGGCTATCATTGAATTCTGTATAATGCCAGGCTGATACTTTTCTACATTTACAAGTCATTTTTAGATAATAAAAAAAATGTATAATTATACTGTTTATCTCTTGATACTAGATACTTCTCTATTTCCAGGTCATTGTAGATCTCACTCAAGAGAGAGATTATCTGCAGTCTCAGCAACCACCAAGTCCTCTGAAAGCACCAAGTCCAGATTCTTCACCAAGCCCAGTCAACCCTCTTTCTAATGAAGACAAGCAGCACCTTGCAGTCGAGCTGGCAGACACGAAGGCTAAACTGAGAAGAATCCGGCAGGAGCTGTGAGTCACCAGTGATTTGTGCTTCTTTCCAATTTTTTATTCATAGCAGTAGGAAGCTAGCATGGGGGGGTTCCATCTTTCTTCTTTCTTCACTGGTCTTAAAAAACAGCATGATGGCTACTTGAATTCTTCTTTTTGTGCCTTATCTCTCTCTTCCCCTTTTCAAAATGCCAACTGCTGGCTGCACCTCTTAGTTATTAGTGACCAGAGTCCAGTGAAGCTATCTATGACAGCAGTGGCACTATTGGGATTTAAACAGAGATACATGGTATAAAAACTGATTTTTATGAAGCTGTCATGACAAAGAGGCTGTATGTTCAGAATATGGTAGGAGATTTCTACCTTTCTTTCCAAATTCACGAGTGTCTGTTTAAACAATGTTGTTTCAGGAAAAAAAAAAAATTCTTACTAAGATTTTTCTAATCCTTTTCAGGGAAGAGAAGTCTGAGCAGCTTGTAGATTCTAAACATGAAGTTGAGCAGCTCACCCTAGAGCTGCAAAAAATAAAACAAGAGGTAAGATGGACTCATTTTACTGTGATGGCCTTCCCTCCTACTGGCTAGTAGAACTCTTACCTTTGAACCAGGGGAATCCTCTGCCTATGGTTAAAATGAGTAAATAAATAAAAAGAAAGTTTAAAGAATATGCTTTCAGGTGTTAAGATTTTTCTTTCTGCTTATTCCTCACTTTTCACAGAACATCCACCTGGCCTCAGATGCTCGTTCTGCCCGAGCATACAGAGATGAGCTGGACTCCCTGAGAGAGAAGGCAAACCGTGTGGAGAGGCTTGAGATGGAACTTGTTCGGTGCAAGGAGAAGCTTCATGATGTGGATTTTTACAAAGCTCGCATGGAGGCAAGTGAAAACTGGGAGAAAGATTTGCTGTCTTTGTTGTGTTACAAGTTCATCTGTCATTTGCTACTGAGCTGACGATAGCAGAACATCAGAGCAAGTGGAAATTTCATAACGTATGTTATAGTTACTGACTTAACAACATTGTAACGTCTTTCAGTGGCAAGAAGGACTTGGTGTGCACAAAAATAAGTGACCATTAATTTTAATAAACATTGCTTAATTCATAAGTATGTGTTTAAACAGGACAGACCTTTTTAGGATGCTTCTAGAGTATCCAGACCTTTAGTCTAGCCTTGAAAATTTACTCTTAGATAAAATGCCTGTGTTCCAGAGTTGTTACTTTGACCATCATTTTAGATGTCATGTGTAAATTAGTTAAATGAATGTCTAGGTGTTTTTCCTTAGGGGTTTGTAGCAGATAAAATGTTGTTAAAATGGCTGGGCATTTTTAAGCGTGACCTCAGATGACAAATTCTAGCCACCTCTTTTTGCAACTCTTGTTTGTAGTAGAAAGGAGAGAAAATTTGGATCTTCCCTAGTGTCTTGAGTAGAATATGTCAAAGAGAAATGTATAGCTTTGTTCCAGTAGTTATGCCAGTTACTCGGCTTAGGCATCTGCAGCTTTGCCCATCCTGGAATTAATTCATTAACTTAGGTTAAAAAGACCTTGGAAATCTAGACAAGCTCATTGCTTACAGCATGTCTGACCTTAAATTTAGGTCAAACTGCTCTTGTTTTCAGTCCATTCGGTTCTTTGAGCCATTATCATGTAAAATCTCAATAATCCACATACATAACACTTCAGCTGAAATCAAATAAATATCCGGACCTGAGGAACATATGCAGGTTCAGTAATTGACAATCTCACTATAATTAGATAAAATCCCAGGTTTGAAGTAGAAGAGTGATGTTGAAACTTGCATTTGCCAGGCCTCTGGCTGAGAACACAGACCTTATTTCTGCTCTATAAACTCTACTTTGTAGGTAATTTTTTTTCCCCCTCTCTAACCTAAGGGGCCACCTAGCTGCTGCTGCTTCTGAATAGGTTCACTCAAATGGATGGTTGTAAATGTAGTAATAGACTACCAAAGCATCTTCCCTCTCAGTAATTCCCAGTTTAAATTAGGAAGCACGAAGCTCTGGCTCTCTGTGTTTCTCCCCTCAAGCTGGCAAATCAGTCGTGCATTAACCTGGCACATTAGCTATCAGTGTGGCATCCTGGCATTTCCCTCTTGGCTGTGCTCTGAAGTCACTGAGCTTGTACCTGCTGCTCAGGTAATTTAGCTGTCGATAGGAGAGGAGTTTGTTGTTTTTTTTTTTTTAGTGTTGTCTTCATCTGAGATCAAGGGGTAGTGTAGTTATGTCTGTTCTTGAGTTCTTAGTCTCCTTGCTTGTCCTAGAGCCAGCAGTTTCCTGCTCTGCTGTCTGAATGCTAATCTTGCTCAACGTACCATTCAGTAAAGAGACCTCCCCTTCAGTTTCAAATTTGATCCAACTTTCCTCACTCCCTTTTCCACCCTGTCAGTTTTTGGTGAAAGTATTGAACGTCACAGATGAGTGCTGACTCTCCAAGGATACCTCCTTGAAATACACTAGTGGGGCAAAGACTATGTCCCATTGACAGGGCACTTCTCTAATTCCAGGCCACAGTGTAACCTCCAGCAAATGTTATCGCTGATGTAGGGGCTGAGCTCTTATAATATGCAGCAGGACTGCACAGCTGTCTGCAGGCTGCTCTGTGGTCTAGAATAGCCAGAGAATTTTACATTCTTGCCACTCCCTTTTCCACCATTAGTCAAGTCTTGGCACAGCCATGGACTACCAGCACTGAACAGTGGCAGCGTCAGGCAAACTTCACTGGTTTCATGCTGGTATTTTCAGAGGACTCCACAGGGCTCTAGTCTGTTTTTTTTTTTTTGGTCATGGAGTAGCATGAAGGCTGTGCATAGTAGCCAGTGTCCAACTTTCTGTGGTCCCTCAATTTTCTGACTTGCCTTTCACAAGTCTTCCACCCCTTCAAAAGAAAGGTTAATGGCTGGAGTCAGGTCCTGTCTGCTCAGATTTGTCCCACTCCCTCAAAAACTGTTTGTCTTACAGTTGTGGGTTGTAAGATTTGTGCAGGGATGTTACATAGTGGAAGGTTTTTTACTGCTGGACAGTACAGTGCTGATTCATCTCGTGGCATTTACTAGTTGTAGCTGTCTTTCTACACTCCTAGTGTTAAGGCCTGAACAAATCTCAGAAGAGGCACAGCAATGAGAATGTAGGTGCATAAAGGTACAGCAAAAGCCTCTTTTCTGTGGTATCATACATTAAGGCTCAGAGGGTCTTGGCAGGGTTGTTAGGAAGCAGTGCCAAGTCAGTGAGAAGAAAAAGTGGGTTTACCTTTGTACATCAATGCAGAAAGCTATTGAAAGAGCACTTAAAAATCTTTTCTGTCTTCTGGTTCACATACCTGTTTAGTAGTTTGAACAAAAAATATGAAAAACGCTATGTGTATGATACCTTGACAAGCTTTAGAGTTGCAAGGAAGCTTGCAAGTAGTTTCTGAAAGTACATGATACAAATCAGAAGTGGTGGCCGGAAGAGACTTAAACTATTGCAGGAGGAGTGCAAAAGGAGCAAGTCTTTCTCTGTGTTAGTGTAACACATTTAGGCAAGTGTGTTGTTCTCCTTTGCTCTATGTCTCAACAAAGCTGTTCAGAAATGACATTTTACTTTCACCATTGTTTGAGGAACATGGAGATGAATATGCTCTGGAGACCTTCCTGCTGGGGTGGCATAATGAAGTTGTAGCTGTGAACGTGGAGGAGCAGGCTTAATGCAGGGCTTGCTCCAGGGAGGTGCTCCTCTCCAACATAAAACTTCCCTCTGGCATTCCTCTCCATTGAGTCTTGTGCTGCTCCAGGAGATCTGGTGATGTTCTGAGGCCAGGGAGTCTCCCTTGCCCAGTCTCCCTCCTCGTCACCGCAGGCACGTTTCCGTGCGGGGTGGCAGGAGGAATTTCTGTGAATGTTAAGAAAAGCAAAAGCATCTCTTGTATGTTTTCCTATAGCTGTCAAAGGCAGTGCCTGATTGTTGCCAGTTATTAACTATGTCATGGCTCAGTAGAGGTGGCTTCTGAACTGCCAGAAGGGAGGGGTTTGAAGTCTAATAACTACGTCTGGATGCATGTGCATATTCTCTAGTTTCAGATTTAAACAATCTGATTGCTACGTTAGTTCCTGAAAATGTTTTCCAACAGCAACACACCCTGATTGTGCAACCACTTACCCCCAGAGTCAATTGTAACCATATGAGTATACAATGCATGTTCTTGAAGTTTTTTCAAGGCACAGTGATACAGGATCAAGCCACAATATGTAACTTATTTTAGAAACTATAAAAGCAGAATTATATATGCTGGATATTAAACCATCACAATTTAAGTGATATAAACCAAAGGGTTTTTTAATCCCTTGCCTAGTAAATTCAGTGTATTTAAAAAAAAATAAATCCACAGCCAACTATTTTTGCTATCAATTTAAAAATAAACTCATAGTTACAAAATAATGTTGAAGGGTTTGTTAATTAAAGAAGGAGTAAACGTTAATTCCAGTGGAAGCACCACCACACTCTGATTGTCTAACAAGTGTGATTTGTAGCCAGGCATGTTTTTAAGTCAACTGTTATCCCAGTGACTTCTGGGAGATTTTAGTGCTGACGTGTTTTGGTTAGGACAGTTTTACCTTCCAGGCTTTGAGATGTAACTCTACAAAGATCCCATGGACTAATTATTTAAATTATATGAACTTTCCAATATTAAGACCAGCTCAGATCATAGTCACACCAGTGAGCAATGTTGACCTTGCCATAGCAGGCATTTCGACCAGGTTATTAATTTAAGATTTCATCAGAACTGCTTTGAACTGACATGTCCACCCCTCCTGGGCGCTTGATGGAAAGCACTCTGGTCTTCTACATACTGCAGCTCCAAGTAACGTGTGGTTTGTACCGGGCCCTGGATGTATGTATGTGCTTGGCACGTAGCTTGACTCTTCATGAGACACTGTAATAACTAGTTTCTGCTTGGTAGGCTGTTTTGGGGATAGTTCTGAGGCCACGATTTTGAGGTCAGACACCACCTTCCTTCTTTTGGCTGTGGTCCAGATTGAATATAATGATCTAGTGAAGTAAACTCTTGTCATGCTCCTGTGTAATGACAGGTATTCTGGCCATTTAAATCACGCCCAGAACCTTTTTTGGTTGTGTATTTCTTCTGGTCTGTCATCTGTTTAGTAGCCTTTTTATGTTGCCCTGAAGTGACCCTTTTAGGTCAGACTTGGCCCAAAATGCTGGGTCTGTAAAATTAGTGTTTCATTATTACTTACATACTCAGACATTGTAATTGTGGCAGTTGAACCACTTCACAAGCACTGACATACTTGTCCTTTCAATGCTACTGTAGTAGGGAAGTTTTTCTGCCCGTTTTGCAAGTTGGTAGCTGACCCACTGAACGATCAAGGGTAATATGGTACTGCAAAAGGTAGGCTTGCAATATTATGCCATCTGCAGTCAAGATACAGCAAACAACTAAGATTACTTGTTATAGAAGGCCATTAAATCATGGGCCCCTGTAGTATGAAAAGGCAAGCAGAGTGGCTATCATTAGACATTCTTAACTTGTGCTTTTCAGCTATCTTTTTCTTTCTTTTTTTTTTGTTTTAATTAACTGCCATATAAGGTTTCTTAAGGCTGATTCTACCCCCAAAAATGAGAAGGTAGTTGCTGATTAAGCAGTGAAAGTGATTTACTCAGGATTGGTCATCTTTCAGGAATCTACTTGGCTGGGATGTTTGTGGTCTGAGAGAGCAGACATGAACACTGATGTCAGCAGAGATTTCTCGTTTTGAAGACAGTTGTCCAGGAATAAACTTGTCCAGCCAGAAGCATTTCATCCTGCCTGTGTGCACATTTTCTGGTTTTGCATATTTTATAGGAGTGGGGGAAGGGATGGGGAGAGGAGAGATGACAGTAAAGAAAAACTAAAGGAAACTTCTTCAGAGAATCAGATTATCTGCTGCTTGCTCCATCGTAAGTGTTCTGGGCAAAAATCCTTCCTGTATCCATTTAGTCTTTTAAATGCTGATATGTTCCTGCCATAGAAAATTTTTGACTCAAGACCTGTATGAGGATCAGCAACAGTAAAAGCTTAGCAGTGAGGTATTGTAACTTGAAATAAGAGGTAATTTAGTAACTGTGTTTAAAAGGTGAACAAGAATACATGGCCAGATTTTATATTTGGGACATTTCATGTTTCTAGAGATAAGATACTTGAATGCATAGATCTTCATTTGTTTCTCTGCAAGGAATGTTTGGAGTGCAATATAATTAACTTGTTTCCAGTGCTGTGGCTACAGGAGAATAGTAAATTAAACTTCTACTCAGTAAAAACAGATCCAAAAGTTGTAATGGATAAGCAATGTGGATTGTGTAGTTAATACTCACATGTTTGAGGTTGGCATGGTGTGTGTGTGTGAAGTCATACATATAAAACAACAACTTAAAATTCTGTTGATCAGAGAGAGAAATTTCTTTAAACTTCTACATCTAAGTGTGCCGAAAGAGGGATATGGACAAAATATGTATTGATGAATAGTGCTCCCCAACATGTTCCGGGTACACTCTAACATTCCTTGAAAGTAAGTAATCTATCTTGAAACTGGGAACTACAGTGAATTGGCTAAGGAAATTGTATTATAACAGTGGAATTGGAATTGAACTGTTACTTTTCTGTGTCTTGAGTTTCTTTGGTGCACCACTTGATCTAACTTCATATAAAGCAAAAGGTACTCCATTAAACCTCGAAAATTCAAGGAAAAACAGTAAGAAATACTAGATTTACTTGCATGAATGACTCACAGATAATTGTAATATCTCCCATTAAAACCAGGTCAAAACACTTTTATGAAACAAATGTGTCAAATTTCTTGTGTTTTGCAGCATCAGTTTGTGAAAGTCACTTTCTTTGAAAAGTCAGTTTATGTAAAGAGATTAATTTTTTTTTCCTCCTTAGGAATTAAGAGAAGACAACATCATATTAATTGAAACAAAGGCCATGCTAGAAGAACAGCTAACAATGGCAAGAGCTCGTGGTGATAAACTGCATGAATTAGAAAAGGAAAATTTGCAGCTGAAATCCAAACTTCATGATGTAGAGCTGGTATAACCTCTTTTTCATTCTGCTAATTTTTTAAACTTCTGGTTTTATGCTAGGTTACAGATTCATGTCACAGAAACCAGTGGAGACAGGCTGATAAATCAATAGTGCTTTTAAAGAGGTCTTTAGTTTGGACCTTGTGTACGTGAATTCTTGAAATAGTATATTGTTAACAGTGTAAATTATGCCAATGATACTTTGTGTGAGACTGAATTTAATTTTACCCAAGAAGGTATATCACAATTTTGAAACACAGATAGCTTTCATACGTACTGATAATGGAGGTATTAAAATCTGTTGGTTAGGTAGAGGAAATGAAGTCTACTGTAGTAAATGATATTTCCTGTTGGAAACAAACCCCTCAGCTATTACAGTGACTTTAAGAAGCACTGTAAAAGACAAGAAATGGCAAATTTTTTTTTCTGTGTAAACCAGAGATAGGGCTTATTGCTTCATAGGCAAGGAAATGTAAGAAGCTGCAGTGTCTACAAACAAAAAACAACATTGGCTTTTATAATCCCACTAGAAATAATAAATAGTTCTTCATCTCTTGTGTTGTACTTAACAGTCCTCCTCTTATCCCTCTGTGTTTTGATTTCTTGTGTGTTTAACTATGTAAGGGTCTAAGTGTATGGGATTTCCAAGAGGATCTGTTTGAAACAAAGATGTTGAGTGTGCTGTATGGAGTTATGTTTAATGACTGATTCATGGCATTTTAAGGGTCATGTCAGGCTCCAGGCTGTCCAAAGTGGCTGATGATTTTGAATGATGCTTTTCTGGGTATCTTGTTGAAGTTTCTGGTTCAGTTTTTTGAACTTTGGGCATTTCTGAATGCTTTCTGAAAATTTGAGACCCTCTGAGGCACCACTTCAGCACCCACAAATGCAAATGGCCAAAATAATCACAAGAAGCAATAATAGATTCATTCTCCAGATCTGTTTTCTAGATATTTTAAAACCCAAATTGAGGCAGATATTAATTGCCAATCCATGTGACTGCATCCCAATTTGACGTGATGAATTAAAGAAGCTCAGCAGAACTCAAGATTGTATCTGCAGAGGCTCCAGTGTGTCAGTGCATGATGCTGCATGTTTTTGAAGAGCTTAGCTCCAGAGACAGCTTGAACCCAGCCTGCCGTACTAGCCCTGGCTTGTACTGGCCCTGTCATCACCAAGTATATTCTCACTTCAGCCACCCTCCCTCCAAGAATATCATGGACATGAGCTGACTCTAAATAGGGCCAGCTGAGTGTGTCTGCACTGCATTCGGTGGCCCATGTAGCCCACAGCCAACATCTCGTGCTTTGCATGTATTTCAATATAAAAGCACACAGTGTTTAAGGAGATTCTTCTACCCTCAATGTGTGTTGTCCTTGTAGCAGTTCAACTGACAGAACAATCTTATGGACAAGCTGAACATGCATTTTCATTCATGTGTGTCTTATACAGGACCGAGACACAGACAAGAAGAGAATTGAAGAGCTGCTGGAGGAGAACATGGTCTTGGAGATTGCACAGAAACAGAGCATGAACGAATCTGCACACTTAGGCTGGGAACTAGAGCAACTGTCTAAAAGCACAGATCTTGCAGACAGTGAGTACCAGCTGGGGAAGCTGTTTCTCTGTTTGTGGTAGCTTTCAGAGTAGACAGGCTGGTTGGCTACAGTAGGTAGGCTTCCCACAACTCCACTGCAAGCAGAGTCAGCTCTTATGTGATTAACTTGGACGTGGGACAAGATGTTAATGTGGAAGGCGGGGGCACCTGGTGGTGGTCTCCTAATTGGCTCCCACCCAAGGCTGACCAGACCCTGGGTGAAAACCAATTAGGAGGGTCTTTCTTACCTGGTTGTGGAAATCATCCAATTGCCAACCCTCATTCAGGGCTGGGGGTTTAAATGCCAGCACTTCAGTTGACTGAGATGAGAACATAAGTTGGATTTCCCTCATTCAGTTAATTGGCTTTGAACTTAGTTTTTACAACTTCTTATGTATTCATTCTAGTTTATTTGACATTCTTTGGAAAGCATTAAAATATTTTATTTTGTTCATCATTGAGTAACTTTTCACTAAATGATAAAAATTTTTAAAAAAGAAAGCTTTGTAAATGACACAGCAGAAATGTCACATTGAACACTGGATATTTCTAACTGAATGGCTGGGAGGAGTCTGTGATCTTTAGTATTCTTTAGTACAATTATTACAGACAATTAGCTGGTCTTTAAGTCCCAGGAAGTAGTGTATGCTGAAGTCATTTATTTTTACTAGATACTGAAAAATGTGTACAGTTGAAATAACTGACTGAATATTTTTTCTGAATGGTTGATTTGATTTCCGTAACTATCACAAACATAACTAATTCTTCCTTCACTAGTCAGGTTTTAGCATTGGTTTCTGTGTCTAACATTCATTCTGTCTCTAACTCCAGCCTAAATAAAAATACCAAACGGAACTTGGGAAATACAAGTGATTTTGTGCAGTTGAATGTGCAGCTTTTATTGGTTACTCACCTGATTATGCCAAGACTTGCGTCTCTGGCTTTGTGTACCCAGAACACAACTTGGATCAAAGGAAAAAAATTAGTAAGCAGATGGTCAGCTTTCAGTAAAGCTGTCTAGAAAAAGCTTTGTTTTGTAAAATAACTGAACGTGTCCAACATGAATTCTCAAATCCGCTTGCTCTCAAGGATCTGAGGTCTCTTTACTAATACTAATGGCTAATTGTTACTTTTAATTAATAATCTTGCAAAGCAGGTTTACTGTAGCCTAAGAAGTGAATGACATTCTGTTCCTCCTTATGTGTAATTAAGGGTATTGCTTACTCTGTTAGTCAGCGGGGGGAAAACCACAGTTCTCTCAAAACTTAGACATGTTGATGAAGAGTATTTCAGGGAAATGTAAAACCGTTTAATTGTCTGGCTTAGTTCAAATAGCAAGTTTTGACCCCATCCTGATTTGGTTTCACTAGTGATGTAATAGAAGGAAGGATGGTAGTTTTATTATCTCTTATTTATAAATTTCTGACAAACAGTATTAAAAATTTGCTTAACAGATTGATTTTAAAAAAAAAAAAGATTCGTTCACTGCACTGAGGCTTATCATTTCAGCATTGGAGCTCCAGAACCTCTCTGATTAACCAAAGGAAAAGAGAGTAAGAGGAACAGAGAACATCAATAATCTTTTCTATTCAGTGGGAAAATAAAGTAGTGAAGGAAGCCTGATTTCAAAAAGAAACCTAAGAACAATAAACTTGGAAATTTTACATGATTTCACTGAAGTTTTGTTGTACTTTTATGGTATAATTCTCATCAAGAAGCTTCATTTCCATGCATGTTGCTGTACTGAATATGGGTTGTTTGTACAAATGGAGTCTGTCTGTGAAGCTCTTCTGGAAAGTCTCCTGTTATGGGATTTCAAATTGAGTCTGCAAAGGTGTCAGATAACAAGATTTTACCTGCTAGCTTGCAGTATTTTATTCAAAATAATTTAAAAAATAAGCATGGAAAAAAGACACTTAGATGGGCTTTGCTTCAGGACAGGATTCAAGGGGAGTGTTTAGTTAATGTTTACTATTGAGTCTTCATGTGACTAAAATTCTCCAGGTGATGCTCCATAAAAGACATAAATGGGATTTTAACATTCTCAGAAACTTGACATTTTGAAAGTACTCAGTGTGCTGTATGTCATAGTGCTGATTATTTAGCAGGATAAATAATAGTTTTCTGAAATTTAAAGACAACGTTAAAGCCAATATATATGCAATGCGGTTTCGAGGTGAAGAGTAGCGATTATTGCATGTGAAACAGAGGGTTACTGTTATATTTAGGAGCTGAGCAGAGGAATGAACAGAACGATGAGACTTTGGGATTTAAGGCTGAAAGGTATTGAGACTTAATCTACAAAGATTTGGAGTAAAACAACATCCATGTTGTAAAACTTGCATAAATTTTGTTAGTTCTGAGATTTCAACTTCAAATGCTTCTTTATGATCAACATTCTGATGGATGTCCTGTGCTTTGTAGTAAAATATTCTCCTGGCTTCAGCATATGCTTGACCAAGTAGTTGTGAAGATAAGCACTGGAATTAGTTTTTGTAATAAATGTTTGTTACTGAATATGATTGAATACTTAGTTTTCACTAGCTTCTAGGTAGTGCACCATCTTGCTGTTTTCAGACAACTCACAGTGGCTTACTTTCAGCCTCAGTTTCTTTCCTCTGATGGAATTCTATGAGAGGGTATCTAAGTATATTTTGCTACTAACATTAAGCATGCTACTAATGTGGCTAAAGCAACTTTAAGAAGAATTAGGAAAGTAAGTAAAAGACAACTTTTATGATGGTTATCTGTTCAGAAACTTTTTATTTATTAAAGGTCTTAATCGTTATCTGTGAAAATGGTTTCTGTATTTAGCAAAGTGTTACTGAAATGGTTTGTGTCTGACTGCAATTATCATCATATAAGTGAATCTTAAGGACCTAGGAAGGGAGACGCTTGTGTATTGGTTAGTGCCACCTTCTGATTCTCATGTTTCAACAGCCAGAAAATCCTTTGTGTTTGAGTTGAATGAATGTGCTTCCAGTCGTATACTGAAGCTAGAGAAGGATAATCAGAGCTTGCAGAACACAATCCAAGAGCTGAGAGATGCCTCCTTGACCTCCAAAGAGAGCAGCCTAAAGTTTGTGGAACTGGAAAAGGAAAACCAACAGCTTAGCAAAAAGGTAATTTGCTCACAGGAACAAACAGAGCTCTTTGAATTGTAAACACAGTGTATGTGGGGCTGTATGGCATTCCT